TGCTGCTCGTTTTAATCTGATTGTATTAATTTTCAATATTGGTTTATCAATTGGTGCAATTTGTTTGATTACATTTATATTTGACATTATTGGATTACATATATATTGTCATTCAGCTGTAGATCGACCACAAAAATCTCAAGATGTTGTGGAAGAATCAAAACGTAATAATGAACAAGTTCAATTAACTGAATGAAGAAAAACTTCGAGGAAATAAAATTGGTTTCATTCTTCTTCTCACAGAAAATTTTCTGCTTCATCAACAATTTTTTATTTTTATTTAACACTTTGAGGACGAATTTTTTTTCATCAAAAACTGATTCTTCAATCATTTTATTTTATTTAACTCAAAATGATTACATAAAATCTTTTGATAATAATAAAAAAAAAAATTATCATTTAAACAAAATGCTAACTAGCACATGAAACATTCAATGTTTGTTTTCAACTTGTACTTCTTGTTGCTAGATTAAGCACAACGCGTTGGTGTTTCTTTAACAGGCAAATACATTTCATTCTCAAAATGAAGAATAGATTTTTAGGATACTATTTTAGGCTTCTTCTCAGAAGGAGATCTTTCAAGATTTATCTGCTCAATGCTTTAGCAGAAAAACTTCGGTATTAAAACCATGTAACTTGATTTCTCTTTGAATGTACAAGTAAACAACTTTGTTGAATAATAGTGTTATGGCACATACGATGTGCGATAGAAATTGTTTTCTTTTTTTTTTCCTTTCATTCACTTCATATCAGTGGCGTAGCCAGGATTTTTTGAGTCATGGGCCATTTCCCACGTAAATTATTTTGAGACATGGGCCGCAACTGAAAGATATAAAAAGTTCATGGCTACCTTCAAATCTATGTTGTTTGAAGGAAATTTGTCGCTACCAGATTAGAGATGACCGTGTTTGCTAATATGCTCTTTTTCATAAATTAATTCTTTCTTTCCAAATAACTATCTATTTATTTCTACAACAAAAATCATGATTAATCATAAATAGAACGAAAAGAACATCAATAAATAGAAATAATACGAGAAGCAGCATAAATGACCAATAAGAAAAGAAACAGTACAAAAACCAACAAAAACCATTATAGACCAAAATTTAAGCGCCGTGGATGTTTTTGTGCAAACAAATCGAGAATTCTCATAGCATCAATGTCCACATTTTTGTGAATAAATGCAGCTGCAAGTCCATTGAGTCGGTTTTCAATCATTGTTGATCTACAATAAGTTTTTATACGCTTGAGTGAGCTGAATGCACGCTCTGCTGAGCTGGTAGTAACTGGAAGAGTAGCAAGAAAAACGAGGAGAAAGTGTACATTTGGGTAGAGAATTAAATCACATTTATCAAGCAAATCCTTCATCCATATGTTAACATAATTTAGTTTATTTATGAGATTGACGCATTCATTTTTCCACCTTTCTAATTCACCGAAAAGTTGAAGAGGTTGTGGCAACCGATCTGAAAATTTTTCGATTAGATTTTTGTATAGTTCCATAATTGAACAATTTGTCGAGGTGATATGTTCCGGTCGTAGTTGAGTAAGTAATTGTATACGTGGTTGACTAAATATGGAAAGACGATTCTCGACATTAGCTTTTAGCTCACGTAGAAACGGGAGAAATACTTGATCTCGGTAAAATTCTTCTGGATCAAGAAGTCGATGACCATGACGTCGTTGGTGCGTACGTGGAGCTGCTGGTTGTATAAATAATTCTTCAGAAATTTGTTTAGCTTGTTCAAAGACAATATTTTTGAAATAATCAGTAGCGTTAGTCTCTCTTGTTTCAAAGGTGTTAAGTAATGATAAAACCTGGTGGTGAGCAATACCAAAGTCAATAGTAGGCGTTTGTAGAAGTCGACTGAGAGGAGTAATTTCGCTGAGAAGAAAACATGCAGCACATAAAGAAGTAATTGTTTCGAAACTATTAATTGAATGATACAGTTGTTCTGAAGTTGAGTTTCCTTCGATGCGAAGACAGTCGAGAGTATTCGAGATTGAAACGTATAATTCAAGAAATGTTTCAAGTGCAACATTACGTTCAACCCACCGAGTTTCACACTAAAGCAAAACAATTTTAAACTAACCAGAGTTAGACAACATTTTTACCTTGTAAGAATCTTTTCTGAATGAAACTGAGAGAAGCTATGTGAACAGATTTATAGTTGAGTCATGCATTAGATTCAAAAAGCTGGGCTGTACAAACTACATAGATACGAAAATTTATAGAAATCCGATTTCTCAGAAACTACAATCTGCTTCATAGTAATGAAATCGGTCAAAGCAACATAATACATGAAAAAGAACATGTTTGTAAAATGATTTTCTTCAAGAAATGAGCAATCTGACAGTGGTGATCACATTATTTATATTCAATTTAATTACTTTTCGTTAGGTGAAAAACACAAATATAATATTTCAGAAGATATTTATCTCTCTGATAAAAAATCTCTCGACTAACTAACAGCGCTAAAGCACCTCAAGATCAACTATTTTGAACAGAAACGTCGAATAACGGAAAGCTGCATAAAAAATTTGTAACTTACCAGAGACAAAAGACGTTTTTTCTTGCTAAGTATAATATAATCGTTGTCTGGACGTTCAATCTCATGTTTCAATGCATTTGTACGTTTCGCTGAATCATTGAAAAAAGTAGTTACAGATTTGATGATGCCGAACATATTTCGAATAAGTTGAGATGTGCATGAATCAATAAGAGAAAGATTAAGCGCATGAGAACTGCAATGCATATATTCAGCATCAGGACATGATCGTTTAACGATAGCTTGACAGCCATTGAAAATACCAGACATACTAGGAGCACCGTCATATGCTTGTACAATACAATTGTTTAATGGAAGTTAGTATCGCTTTAAACTTGATAAAATATGATGGGCAATGACTTCACCAGTTGACGAAGCGGTCGGTATGAAAGCAAGAAAATCTTCACGAATTTCATGTGACTGTGGATCGACATATCGAATGAGTAAACATAGTTGTTCAATGTTGGATGAATCAGTGGTACCATCGACTATTATAGAGTAGAGTGCTGATGGAGCCAAACGACCGAGAATGGACGACAAAATATACTCGTGAATAACTTCAATAATTTCGTTTTGAACAGACGAACTTGTATATGTTGAATTACGAGGTTCTTTTTCAAGATGACTTCGAAGAAGATGATCACCAGCATCGATACGTTCTTTTAGAAGTGCAATGAAGTTAGATCCAGATGGCATTTCAATAGAATCAAGATTATCTCGAATAGATATAATGTCTTCACCTAAAAAAGTTAACCTTGTACACTTCACTCTTTCAATTGGAATTATACTCTAATTCTTATACTATGGAGCCTAGGTAAGGCAGTAACAATACTCAGTGATACGCTCCGCTCGCGATTAATTGAAGTGTCGGTATTTCTCTACAAAACTTACGACTAATTTCACATATTGCAAAGACTTCTAATCAGTAACTCAAAAAAAAAACTCTGATTTTCAATCCCACTTACTAGCTAATATAAGTGTCTGGTATGACTACTTTTGTGACGTGATTAATGAAAAACTATTTTCGACAACGAAAATTCTGGAGATGAGCCGTAAAACTGTAGTTAATATTTTCTCACTGCTATTCTTTTAACCCAGACTCCCATTCTCAACATAAAATTCATTTCTCATACGAAAAGTAACTATCGATAGTTTACTACGATGCCGTCCAAAGTTTATTTTAGCACGAGAACTGTATTTCAAAAATTATTCTCGATCATAATCTCTTGTACAAGAAAAGAAAAACTTACCTCGATGACCACGTAAAGCAATATTTTGTCGTGCACAAGTGATCACGACTTTAATGATTGAAAGAAGTATGGCTTTGTTTTTTTCGATCGCTTCGATCCTGTTTTGATCAAGCTGATAATCAATACTAGAAGATGGATTTTCGAATGTCCGAATAAAATTGGTGGAGCGCTCAATAGCTGTTTTATGATTTTTCGAACTAAGATGAAATTTAATGTTCGTGGTGAAATGCTTTAATTGTTCGAATCGAGAACATGGATAGTGAACGAAAATAACAGCAGATTGATTTGAAACTAAAGGTGAAAAAAGATCGCAAGCAGAAGAAAACGCGCCTTCATAATATGGTGAGTAAGAAAGAAACGAGTACTGGGTTAACCACGAAGCTATGAACCGACGAACAGTTCCATTTTTTCCACATTGATTTCGAAATATGTATTTATTATCAGGTCGAAATGGTTTTGCCAGTAGCAGGTAGATTATGTTGCGATAATTGGTACCCAATATCGTTGTCATGAGCTTCTGGATGAGAATCGATAACAATCAAGTTCTGATTAACGTTAATAGCATCAATTTCATTTGCCTCGTCCAAGTTAGCATCACTGGCTTGAGCAGTATCAACAGTGATAAGATCAGATTCGTCGGCCTCGAATTGTTCGCAATCAGTTTGTTTGGACGAAAGAGAAGTAATGAAAGCCTTTTTCGTAACCGTAACAAATGAATCGAGTGTTCGTTTATTACCAGACATTTTTATGCAGAAGATATTCAATATAGAAATGAGAGTGTTTTTCTGTCAACAATTTCACCGTCGTTGTTCTTTTATATTGATTAATAGAACAATGTGTTTGTTACTTTTCGTTATCTGACCGTGACGCTAATAATTTCTTTCATTATCTGACGACTGTCATGCTTATGATTTCGTTTTAATGATTGAGAGTGACGACGAGTGTTTCTTTCTCCCTTCATCCGATAACGAAGAAGCTCACTTTATCATCTCTCTTCATATAATGATGACTGCTGCTCTATATTTTATTCCTAGCTAGTCCTTTCATCCTTGTAAGTTTTTTTAACGGCTGATATTTTTAGTTATATGCACATCCTCGGAACTATATATTATCATTCCATTATTATTACTACTAATTACTAAGTGGAAATTTCAAACGACACTTATTAACATCTATTAAGAATTGGAATTTTTATTACTCAAATTGCGAAAGTATTGTCAATACTTATACCGCTCAAGTGTTGGGTTTAAGCTACGTCAGTCGTTTGCGTTGAAGAGAATTCTATGTTCTCTCGAAAGATTGATAAATGTGCGTTTATATCTTTATTACCGACTTTAAGTGAGGATATAAGTTTTTTCACGAAAAAATAGAATAAAATTATTATTATCTTGATCATTGCTTCGGTAGAAAATATCGTCAATTGATTTTTCTTGATCATTCGAATCGATTTCAACAACAATCAGCGTTAAAATAACATCATCTAAATTTTTAAACATGCATATATATCAATATTTTTCGGTGTTGGGCCATTGCTATTGTCTAAAAAATTTATTGGGCAATAACTTTTTAACTATTGGGCAATTGCCCAATGATCACCCTCCTGGCTACACCACTGCTTCATATATATATATATATATATATATATGTTGAATGTATATATATGTTGAATGTATATATATGTTTTCTTTCGTCCTACTAGAGATGTTTCATTAGTATGTTCTTTGTTTTCTTTTCTATATGTTCGTTCTTTTTCTTTTTCTTTAATCGAACTACTCTTGTTCGTCCTTTTCATCTCTATATTTTCTCTGATCTTAAAAGTTAAAAAAGAAAGAAATTGTATCTTTGTCCTTAATCTATGTTTGTGTAATTGGGTATATAGGATTTGGTAACGAAAGATATAGATATATGTGTGCAAGTTGGTGTAAAAAAAGATTATTAGAGTAGGACGTAAAATATAAGAAGTAGTGATTGTTGAATAAAGATTATTCAACAAATAAGTAACTGATCAAAAACATAATATCGTCTTAAACTAACCATATACACATTTAACGTAAAATAAATACGTAACAAATAGATAATGTAAAAAATTTGAAAGCTTACGTGATAATTATTTTCACGTCTTTTATTTAAAAACCATGATATACCGTTACCTGGCAGTAAAAGAAAAACGTTTATGCTATTGCAAAATCAAGAACAATGTAACTTCATCAATGAGAACAGGAACAGGTATATATATATACAAGAGCAATAGAAAGTGAGAAGGTTGTGGGTGTGGGTCTGCGCTATAGAGGTGAGCTTGATTCTGAAGTGATGGTGTGTGTGGATTGAAAGTAGATCTGCATCCACCCCCACATTCCTGCTTTTTACGCTGAAACATCCTATGTTTTCTTGGAGAAACAAGCATGTTTATAAATGTTATCATCTTCAAACTCGGTTTTTTTCAACGAAGATACCTTTTTGAATACGTAAAAAAAACTCAAATTTTTGCTGCTAAAAATTCGTTTTTTTACCAACTTTTCTGCAAAGGACCCTCTTAGTCTTGACAATTGAGAATTGATAATGTAGACAGTTGCGATACTCTGAATGACATTAATACCTTTTTGGATTAGTGTCGTTATATTTCCATTTTAGCTGATCGTCTGAGTGTTATGTTCAAAAGATGATTCATTCATTTTTCTGTTCTAAAGTTCATTATTGATCGATGAAGCTAATATTACATTTCCTGTTTTTGTTTACTATTATGAAGAATGAAGATACGGTATATGAAAAAGAAAAGATTATCGAGAACGTTTACAATTTCGACTCCGACTTTGACTTCGAAGTTTTTTTCATCGAGGGGGTGGGTGTGGGTCTAGGTCTGGGTCTGGATGTGAGTGTGGGTATGAGTGCTGAAGATAAAAATCCACAGACTCAGACCCAGACCCACACCCACACCCTCATTCAGCTGTTCTTGATATGCAATTCTATACAGGCAAACAGTTTCCTGATCGATACAGGAATGGAGCATTTGTTGCTATGCATGGTTCATGGAATAGACATACTGTGACAGGGTACAAACTAGTTTTCGTTCCATTCAACAGCAAAACAAATCGACCCATGGGTTACTATGAAGACTTTGTCACTGGATTTTTAATGAATCCATCTAGATCAGAGACTTTCGGACGACCAGTTGGATTACTTGTATTGAAGGATGGAAGTCTTCTGTTCAGTGAAGATGGAAACGATCGACTTTATCAAGTCCAATACAATGGTGCAATGCGCAACGTTTATCAGTAGATGTCAATTATTCGTAACTTTTCCTCATTTTTCTCTTCGTTAACAAACGCATGTTTTGATCATTGATGAAAACCTAAAGATCTCTATTGATTTCAATCCAATCGAATGAAGTTTGTTTCAAATTAATTTTATCAATGAGTAGATCATTTTTATTTGATTTCAATAGACAAAAACGCGAAAATTTTCTCTCTTGATCAGTTCTTATAATGATTCATTTTCTTTGGATCTTTCGATGTGAAGAAAATTTTTTTTTGACATTTATAGTCTTGTTGATAATATTGAATGATCGAGAAACAACTTCATTCACAGAAACTCTTCTCTCTTCAAATTATTTTAGTTTTTAAATACAAAAGGTATTTAGTCAAACTCGAATTGAACAAATGAAGATGAAATTGAATTGTGATTTTCAAGCTAAGTAGGAGAAGTCATGAAGAAACGTTTTTTCTTTTTGATAAATCCTAAATTTTCATGTGAAACATAAAAAAGAAAAATAAATCAAAATTAGAAGATCTTTCATTTCGATAATGTTCAAAGATCACAAAGGATTTGTATTCCACTTAACCAACAATACACATAGAAAGATTTCAAACAGTGTGTCAAAACTTACATAATCAAAATAGACTTCCGAACTTGCAAATGACATTGATAATTTTATTTTTCCATAGAATAAAATCAAATGAGACACAATGTCTTCGCTATGCTTCGTTTTATTGTGTGATGAAAAATGAGAAAGGACCTTCAACTGATAATGCACATTATGACCTTCTCTTTATTCTTTTTATCTATTTGGAAAGGTTGCTAAATGTCGTCAACGCTTACTTCAACTTCGAAATGAAATAAAGAACAAATGTTCGTATAAGATCGACGATCGAACCAAAGTAATCAATCACTTGCTATTTATCGTAAAAAGATCAACAAATTCATTGATTCACTCTATATAGAACAATGACACAGTTTCTCTTCACAACAAATGATCATTAACAAACAATACGAGTTGTTCATGTATTCTTTTAGACTATTTCTTCTTTTCATAAACCAATTCAATCAGAATTCTTTTCCAACCATTTAAAACATGAATATCTTGATCGTACACATATATTAACAATTGAATCAAAATATCGATTTTTAATCAAACTCGACAAACATTATCATGTTATATACTACCAATAT